TGAGTTGGTTTTCTGTTGTTTTGTCCCCCCCCCCTCTAATCTTTGTTTTTTCTTAGTGGTTTGGAGTCCGTAGAGGTGTTTTTAGCAAGTTGCGGGAGCTTCCCTCCCTGTCCTGTTTTCTGGTTTCTCTCCCTCCTAATCATATTTTCACGGCAAGACTCTTTCCGCCTTTTCAAGAAGAAAAAAAAAGTATCAGTAGCACATCCTGGCACGGACGGCCTCCTGCACCTTCTCCTTTGTACACAAAGCACGTGGGTGGCGGCAAGTGTCCGGTTAGGATGCTGGGAGTGTTTTGAAGGCATTGTATATGCTCTTGAAAATCAATAAACCCTTCTTTATCCAAAAAAAACATAGGAGCAATAATCCATGACTCTGGAAACCAGAGACAGCTAGCAGGGCTGAATATATTCAGAAGCACACCCTACAGCTTACTTGTGGTTGTGGAAGGTCCTCTTGTTATACATAGATGGAGCTTCGATGAATTATTCCTGTGGCGCGCAGAATCTCATCATTAACCGGTTTGCTTGTGACGACATTTATGTCAGTTTGGTCTTACTTGGTGCATGGGCAATCAATTCCATGGTTGGTGCTACGTAGTAGTACAATAAAATCTAGCTCGATCAATCACGCCAATATGTTGTACAGCTACGTGCCGCCAACCATGCATGCATACAAACATTGTCGTCGAGGACAGGCCAGGCCAGGCAGCTCTTGAATGAAGCCACAACGGTCACCATCGGAGCATGGCAACTAACGAGGCTCGCTCACTTCGATCTGACAGTCGGCATGCATGGTTGATGAACAACCTAAGCACCAGAAACATAACGCCAAAGCTCTTCACGTGCAGCACACAGGAAGGAATTAAAAATGAGATGATGGTGCGGCAACTGGCGCGAGCTAGTGGTGATCCATGACCACACAATTGGCATGGGTAGAGAGCATCAATGATGCTTACTTGTCTTACTTCTGCAGCTATATAACTTCGTTAATTGGGATGGCTACAGTCGTTGCAGACCATATAGTGTGGAAGAGTTAGTTCTTGTACTTTGTACATTTCTCCTTCTATCTTAATTGAAATGCAGAACTCCTACCATTTATGTTAAAAAAATATTCACATCAATTCCCGTCGAAAATTGGAAAGACAGGGATAAAGATTTACTCGACCGTCCATACATTTACGGATTTTCTATATTTTAAGATTGTTAGCCCGTGCTGATGAGATAGTAGGCTATAAATTCAAATCTCGTATGCAACATACCAGCTAGTTTGCAGATTCCATGGCCAACAGACGAATATATAGTACTGTCACAATCAACACGTGAGCTCGATCCAGAATCAGAAGATTAAGATGGAGTGATCGACCTAGCATTTTACTGCAGCAAACAGCATCTTTCAGACACATATGTACCGGCATGGCCAGGAGCAGGAGATTACAGGCGGTCTTGATCAGAAGAAGGCGTCAAGGGATAAAAAAAATAAAATATGAGGTCATCAAGAGCTAATAACTGGCTTGCACTGTGGCATAAGGCACAAGCAAATTAAAAACCGCAGACATGCATAAACAACCACACGCGACAACACATAATTAAATAAGAGTTTCTGATCCCTCTTTTTTTTTTCCATTCAGCACTGGCCATGGTAGTGTCACTGTCCATGGCCCATGGCCATCGCCATCGGGGGTCCTCCTCGCAGCACCGCTGCTGGTGGTGGTGGTGGTAGTGCGGCAGCCGCCCGTCGCCGCCTCATTATTACCACCCCTCGATGCTGTACACCGGCACGCCGTAGTACAACGACGGCGCCTTAGCCATGGCCGGAGACGGAGCTGGCCGGCGCGGGCACGACGACCTGCGCTGCTGGCGGCTGCGTGGTCTGCTTGCCGCAGCTGCAGCCGCAGCAGCAGGTGCAGGGGGCCGGCTGGGTCCTGGCATTGGGGCGCTCCAACATCTTCTCCAGCAGCGGGCGGAGGTTGACCGCGGGCGCCGCAGCCGTCTTTCTTCCGTGCTCCTCCTTTTCAATGCCTCCGTCCTTCTTCTCCTCGGTCTTCTTCTCCTCGGGCGCTTTGACGTCTATACCCTTGATGATCCAGCCAGCCTCCCAGCAGAGCTTCCGACGGACCTTCTCGGCGTCGAACGGGCCAGAGATGGTCACGAGATTCCTCTTTTCATCAAAGGAGATAGTATTGATGTTCATCTTGTCTGCGCAACCCAGTCAATCACAATCAACAATGATCATCAGCACAGATCGAACTGCTAAACAGTTGTAAAAGCGACTGACAAGTAATTAAGCACAACAAGTGGGGAGGTGATTGGTGCTCATGCAGCCATGTGATGGCAGATTGGCATTATCAGACTGCAGACAGAGGCGTTTGCATTGGTGAATGACTGAATATATGGTGACGAGGGTTATACTACAATACTGTACCTTTGATCTTGTGGAGGACCCTTCTGATCTTCTTGTTGCAAACGACCATGGTGATCTGCGATGTGATACAAGGATTAAATAGATGGTTGTAAACGCAGTGCTATTGGAAGTAAGCTAGGCCATGGGGGAAGTGATGTTTTACGATAGTTCTTGTTAAGGTCGATACAACACATAGACCTTAAATCTAGCAGGTAGTTCCAACCATTGGAGACGGACGGTCTAACACATGTTCTAAAGGGGCATGTCTTCTCAAATCAGGAGACGAAGACCAATTATGTTGGCCTCTCAACTCTGTTTTGAACTATTGGCCGTGGTAAAAGCCGACTCTGCTGCTCCCAACAAGAGAAAGGAAGTGATAACAAAAGAAGAAGAAGAAGAAATCCCTAGGGCTGCACGTGTTCCTTATCTTACGGCGGTGGTAGTAACAGGACCGAACATTTCTTTTCTTCGGAGCAGAGAGAAATCAACAAGACCCATCACGCAAGCAAATTAAAACTGCAAGACTAACAGCAAGGACAGGACACAAAACGAGCAAGCGTCAGGATTCATATCATTGGGTGGTGGGTGCTCTCCTCTTGCCTCCTTGTCGGCCATGCGGGTCGATCGGATACGCCCGAAGCTCCGTCACCTTGCCTGTGGTGGCTGCCGAGAGAGAGGAGAATTTCTGTGACGGAGGAGGAGGAGGAGGTGCGGCGGCGTCTTCAAACCAAGCTGAGGTCGCGCACGCAGAGGCGATTCGTCTTGGGGCACCACCAATCGACGACGCGTGGGTCACCCCAGGCCTTGTCGGCCCCTTTGTCCTTACTTTTGGCCTGCACTGCACATTTCAGACTTCTCCGATCCCGACAAAATGCTGAAGAGAAATGACATGCATGGAAACGACAAAGTGTAGGGCCTCGTTTAGATCCCAAGTTTTTTCACTCTCTCTATCATATCAAATCTTTGGACACATGCATGGAGTATTAAATGTAGATAAAAAATAACTAATTATACAGTTTGAATATAAATTACGAGACGAATCTTTTGAGCCTAATTAGACTATGATGGGACAATAATTGTCAAATACAAACAAAAGTGCTACAGTACCAAATACTGATTCCTAACCCTAATCTAAACAAGGCCTAGAAAAGAAAAGCAGAGAAAGTCTCGAGCACAAGTATACTTCATTGGCTTCTCGATCGAGTTTTGTGCGTGACAGCTTGCTTGATTGATTGTCACCAGCAAACAACAAGCAGAGAGATTGATAGTCTACTTACTCTCACCGTACCCTTTCTATCCTATTACTATGCGCGTGTTGGTAGCAGGCTAGGGGTCACCACGGATTAGGCCAACAACCAGAGAGTAAGTAGATAAACAATCCTGTAGCCTTTTGCCATTTGTCAATGCGGTACCGCCTTTTGTTTTCAATCTGGAACGACGCAGGGAAAAAGCGCATCATCTATTTCCTTCCAAACTGCAAGTGCTGCTGCACAACTCATTCGCCATTTGATCGTCGCGTACTGATGCTCGCCCAAAATAAAATGCTGCAACAGAACCATGCCATGGCGTGTAGCTTGCGTTGCCCTGGCATGAAAGAATCTTAGGCCTGTGTGGATCCAACTAATGTTCAGCCCCTGGCTATATATCCAACTAAATATTAGCTGCCCACTTTTTAACCATGTGGTGTTGTACCTACACTACAAGAATCCTGTTAATCCATGATGGAAAATTTTCGTCACGGATCACTGAAAAACCGTCAGTAAACAACATCTATGATGGTTTCAGAAATCATCACGGATTGAGCATCATGGATTGACATGCGTGACGGTTTGTCGAAAACCATCACGGATTAAGATAAGCGGTGACGGTTTTAAACCGTCACGATAGAGCCCAAGGCCTAGTTAGTCCAGCCCGAACCCATTTCCTGTGACGAAAAATAACCGTCACGAATCAATTGCCACATCAAAGATACACTAGCTCATTTGTTAACAGGTCAGAATCAAAGATGGGCCAAGTTTGGCCCAATTTCAGCCATTTTCGTATCAATTTTTCAGCCATTTTCACAGGCCCATTTCAGCATATTGCAACCCAAATTCATCACTAATTTTTAGCCCACTTTTCAGTCCACTACTACAGAACATATAGCCCATATACACAGCCCATTTTTGAACATTCAGCCCATATACACAGCCCACACACAGCTCAAATAATTACTGTTGCAACAATATACACAGCCCACACATTAAATAAAATAATACACAGCCCACACATTAAATAAAATAACTCATATTTCCATCCAACAATATATCACATAAATTTGCAACCCAACATTAGATTACAAGTATTCATCCAACAATAGTTAACATACAGAAGTGCATACAGCCATATAGTTTACCATGGCACAAGCCAACAACACAGAATGCATAGAAGCCCAGCAGCTTGATGCATGTAGCAGCAACAGCAAAATGCGAGCAGCAGCAATAAAATATATACCAACATGTATCGCTTAACTTGGTCCAAATTGACTTGACACAAGTTAGCAGCAGCAAAATGCATCAAGTTAGTGGCAAAAGATATGCACCATGCACGTCTTAACTTGGTCAAATTTGACTAAGTAAAAGGTTAAGTTTTGCTTCCATCTCAGATTGACTCCTCTTCATCTCCTCTCGGTCAATAATCCTTGCCTGCTCAGATTCTTGCACTTTATTTGACAAATCAACCACTTGTACACGAAGCTCACCATTGGTCTTTTTCTCCGCTTCCAGTTCAGCGCTATGCTCATTGGAAATACGCCGGGCTTTCTGGTACCCCACATTCTGCAAGAACTGATTCTTCTTGATGTTCTCAGCAAGCACATTAGCAACAACTTGAGCCGCAGACTTAAGTTCTTCACCTTCTGTTGTTGTAGATAGCTTGTTTTCCATCTGAGTCTAGCAAACAAGTAGCAAAGATGGTTGATGTTGAGAGAATTAAAAATACAAAGATCAAAGTCTGAAAATTATCTTACAATAGCCTCTTGTACAATAGGGGTGTAGCATTTTTTTTTTGTAGTGGCACTCCTTGAACAAATCAAATGCATTAGGTTCTTCATCATTATATTTGTCATCCTGAGAACAACATATATGCATTAGGTCCGGCATGAATTAAGATGTTACAAAATTTTGGACAGCTACTATTCAACTAAAAATCTAGAAGAACATGTTCAACTATAAATAGGATTAACTGAATAGTTATTGTTCAACTAAAAATCTGGAAGAACATGTCCAACTAAAAAAAAAAGCGATTCTATGGTTACAATAACAAAGCAGTAGCTTATTACAATAGCACCAGAGCTTGTACCAAATTATACAAAGACAAATCTAAAAAATAGCAGCAGTAGCTTGTTACAATAGCATATGCAAAGTGACATGTTACAAATAGCTTAATATGGTGGTTAATAGCAGCAGAAGCTTAATATTTTTTTTATGACAAAGGAACCTTTATTGATTAGCAGCAAGCTGCTGCAACAAGGGAGAACCACTCCTGGTTTACATCATACAAAGCCTTATGAAGAGGACATCTACAAATATGTTCGGAACTGATACATGTGAAAACAACAAGGCTACAATTATCTGGTGAGGCTCTAAAGGCTTGGGAAGATAAAATATGCTTAATATTGTCATCACAAGAGCACAGCATGTTAAAAACACAATATTCTGTAAACTTATCCTTACATTAGAGCAGCAGCATGACAAGTAGTTGTGTTCTTACATAAATCAATACATCTCAAATTCCCTTATGTAAAGTGAGAAAACATTTCAGCAATATGAAAATTACTGATGAGCTTCATATAGAGAGCTTTATCCCCCAGCATGCTTAAGTAACAGTTGCATACATTTATTTATAAGGTGTTTAACATGGCTCACTTACCAAATTCTCAACATGAACCATGTTGGCACGTGATCCGGTTGTGTGATGGTACTTAACTTTCCCTCGGTTGTCTTTGTTCTTTTGACACATCTCCTACATCAAAGACAAAAAATGCATGTAAGGTTGGTGATAGATTAGCATGTACAAGGCATCATTTTGGTTTTTCAGAGAAAACATACCATCTTTTTGGGACTCTTCCATGATTCTAAAAGTTTAAGCCACTGTTCATCAGTCATGCATTTGACAGGAGAAGTTTTTGTAACCAAATGTAGTGGAAAAGGATCAAAATATTCTGCCTTCAGCCTGTATCTTTGTTGGCAGACCGCAGATTGCATCATCTCAATACAACCCTTTTTAACTGTGTTATCCTCTGTGTTTATGTCAAACTTGGCCTAATTGAATGGAAGAACATGTGCAGAAAAGAATATCAATTCAGTAACTTATGGCATAAAACAACAAACAATGGTTCTTATATTGAGACTAAATGTGGAAGGGGCCAAAGAATGTATGTACCTTTAGTTTTCCTAAGAATAAATCAACATACGCAGATGCAGGTTCTTTCTCTTTTGGTTCTTTCTCGTTTGGTTCTTTCTCTTTTGGTTCTTTCTCCTTTGAACTTGATGCAGGTTTTTTCTTGTACAGCTTCCAATGCGGGAGTATAGGCACATGGTTCCTAACTATGATGTTGCATTCACTTGCAAACTTTGCAGCAACAAGAGGAACCACCGGCCTTATATGCCCTTCAGTTATGACAACTTGCAGCTTGCCACGACGCGCTTGGTTTAACCTTTGGAGACCAAGTCCCATATTATGTCCCCGGTCCCTTCTCTCCTCTCCCCCTAGTTGTAAATGTACATTGAAATTAAAATTAAGTAGGTGAAGCAAACATTGATCCATTGAGGCAATATGGAATATGAAAAATAGAGGAACAAACTATCACCTTCGTTGGCAATCTGGTTGTCGTCACCATGTTGGGTAATGCCATCAGCTATACCAGCCACGATGGTGTTGTCATCATGCTGGGCAAAGCCATCTAAAAAGGGCAGCCAGTAAGAATGCATTCATCATACAAACCTAACTTATAGAATGACAGTAAGAAACCATCACCTCCATCATCCATTCGGCTATGCTGATTAGGCCAGTCAATTGCATCAGCCCCAGTGGTCATGTGTGTGTTGTCAAGTAGAGCAGAGTTATTACCTAAAATTATTGGCAATAATTAAAGGTTAGTTCATCATGTTACCTAGTAAACAAGGCACACAAAGGAAAAGGTCATCTGCTATACAAATCTGATGCCCAGACAAATTAAGAAGTACATACATGCTATAAATAGCACATTGCATAAATTACATCAGATTTGGATACATATATTTTTTTTGAGGGGAATCAGATTTGGATATATAAAGCATCATACAAAAAGGAGAAACAAAACAAGTTTAGACCCACTTAAACAAGTTCAGCCCACTTTTTAGTGTCAAACAACAGATTTCAAAAAATAGTGAAAATTGGTTTCATGAATCTTTTATACCTAAAACTCTAGTTAACATTTTCACAAGCTAAACAAGCATTAAACTTGGATAAACAGGTACAACACATAGACAAACTTCATAGATCAAGTTAAACATTTTTCATAGCTGAGTCATGGTAATGGAGTGAGACTAAGTAATGTGGCAGTAGAACTGGCCTTCAACAGCATCCTGTGCTTGGTCATCTAAGTTGCCAACAAGTTCTCCAGCGTGGCTCTCATTTGCTTGCGATGGAGGTGGCACAGAAATTTCACTTGGTGTTAGCCTTGCATCTTGCTGGGCATTGTTTTTCTTTGTCCTTGTAACTCTAGGAGATGTTTGGTCTGCAAAAACTCTCTTGCGAGACTGAAACTTGACTCCACCAGGGTGGATTCTTGAAGGTTGGTTGTTAGTTTTCTTGTGAGTCTTCTCCTTAGAGCACTGTTAGAAATGAAAGCATGTATTAGTCCACATAGCATTAGAGTTAGATTGAATTAGGAAGGGAAGAAGAACAAGTTAAGACTTGACAACATGGAGGAATTAGGACCTTAGAATTCTCATCGTCAATCAAATCTCCTTCATCAGTATTATCCTGCAGGCCGTACTCGGCCAACATTTTGGCATAGGGATCAGCAAGTCCAAGTTCCTTCAGCATTGCACTGTTCTTCATGCATTCTCTCAGGCGCTCCATTTCAATTGGAAGCAGCCCTGGTAACAAGATGAAAAAAACAAGACCAACATATCAATAATATTATATAGTTCACAACCAAAATGACTGAATCAAAGCATCAGTACTTCAGTGAAAGTTTGTGTAACAAGAAATAATTTTGGAACACCAGAATGACTGAATCAAAGCATCCCAAACTATGCTGAATACTCTACAGCAGGGATTCACATTAACATTTCTGTAAAACAAACTAGAACTGAAGCCCCCTAAATATTTGGGATATCTATGATACATGCTGACATACAAAAGAAGAGAAGAATTGATATATCAATCTGGAGTGCACTCAGATCTTTCAACAAGGATTTTATTCAGGAAAGCATTTGCCAAACAAGTACACATGCTACAGACATGATATCTAAAATTAACAATAGTGAAACACATCCAGATGTAAAATGTCAAAAAAATTTCCAGCCTGGGCAAGACAAGGCTTCCAAAGTACCATTGGTTCCTCAAACCAGCAACTAAAGAGGTGATGTTAGGACTATACCTGCTATCCGGCCTCCTTTCGGTTTATTTGGCACACCCTTCGGCGCCATAACAGCTTTTTGCGGCCTGGGATGCTGGTGGCAGCGTTCTGATCCTCCCAGCAGCAACGATGGGCGTGGCGGTGGAGCAGTCCTTCCAACAGCGACGGCGGCGGGTTGAGCTTGAAGTCGACGACGGCGGCCGGCGGGGCTTGAAGATGATGATGGCGGTGGATCTCCCGGGGCGCCCGCGGCCATCCAGGAACGGCTGCTCCAGCAGGTGGCCGGCAGGACGTGACTTGGAGGCCGAACCCAGGCACCCTGCTCCTGGAGGTGTGTGGCGGCCTCCTGCTCTTGCTCCTGGAGGTGGCTGGAGGCCGAACTGAGGTGGGTGGCGGCTGGAGGTGGGTGGCAGCTGGGAATTAGGTTTTGGAGCCAGAGAGTGTCGACACATATATGTGGGTGGGGAGTGGAATTGGGAAGACCAAGGTACCCCTGATAAAATCTGTAATAGCATTGCCTATATATTTTTAATCTGTATGCAACTTAGGGTAGTAAGGTCAATTCGAACCACGAAACATTTGGGGCTGGCGCACATTTCACTTGAAAGCGCGCTGAGCCGCTTGGGCGTGCGGGAACTTTCTTTTTTCCTGAAGCTGAACATTGCCTTTTATATTTGGAACCTTCTAGATAAGTATATGTTTCATAGGAAGGCTATATTTGAGATTTGCTATTATGTAAAATAATAATTGATAAAACTATAAGGGTTCATAATGTTGTGAATGACGACGATCAAACGAGGAAGAACGCAAAATCATGTTCTGTCACACTGGAGCAGCTAGCGCAATGGTAAGGCATATTGTTTTCAACACCTAGGATCAGGGTTCAATTCCTGGAGATTCCTTTTTTTTGTCATTTTGCCACGCCGTGTGCGGGAATGAAAAATTATCCCATTCCATCGCTATTAGTCATATTCTACTAATTATTTTGTCGGAATTAGGAATTTGGGCCAAACAAGCATCATGTAAGTGCATACACATAGTTTATCATGTCACGATCCCTTTATGTTGATAGTAAATTTGGTCGTATTCCACCAATTCTTAGTAAATCGGGCCAAACAAGTGGCATATATGATGCACCCACATAATTCATGCATGTTATGATCCTTTATGTTGGTAGTACATTGTGTTCTCATTCTGTAGCTATTATATATAGTCGTATTCCACTCATTTCCGGAGTTTTTTTGGAGTAAGAAAATTGGGCCACACAAGTAGCATGCATGTATGATGCATAGACATGGTTCACGAATGACTCCATTCTAAGTAAGATGGTCATCCGTCATCATGAACCTAACCCTTTATGTTTGTAGGATGTGTTAACAATCGACTCAAGCAATGTTTTAGTGCCCAAGCACGTTGGCATGAGACAACGACAACAAAATCCATGCTAAATGTTCTAGTGTTGCATCCATATACAATTTTCATGTTGCCACGTTCGTCATCACAGTATTGAAAATCCAAGTTCAAATACATTGAGTCGTTGATGCATTCATTTTATTGATTCATAATTTTGTATCCACTTTAGCATGAATTGGTGTAATATATTTTTTAAAATATTTTTAGGCTCAACTAGCAATATATGCGAGATTTGGTCCAATTTTAGATAGTGAGGCCCCATCAGTCATTGACCACTATGGAGATTGTTTTCCCAAAAAAAAGGACAAAGAGAGAAAACACACGAAGCTTCCTTCAATCCTCCTCCCCCGACTTCGCCGGCTCCACGCGCGCCACGCCCACTCCGCCATAGGGGTTCGCTGCCTCCCTCCCTGCCCGTCAGACGGCCCCCCGCCGCGCTCCCCTCGGCCGCCGCGCCGGCCGCATCCGTCGCTCTCGTGTCCACATCCGCTGCCATCCGCAACACCCGCCACCTGCAGCGCCTGGCCTCTCCCCAATCGCCCTGTGCAGGTGCCGGGAAGTTGCAAGCTCTATTTGTTTGCTGACAAAGATGATTGAGGACTGATGCAGAATGGACCAGATGATGTGATTACTGAAGATGTCAAAGATCATCATGAATGTATTTCTTGTTGTCATTGTTGTATTAGGCACCGAGCTGTTCCTGCCAACTGCCATAGTACTGAAGAGAACAGCCGAGCGTATGTGTCGACAAGGAGATGTCAAAAGATTATCAACATAGGGCAAGCTGTAGAATGAACCTGTAGATTGACAAATGAGCCTGTATATATATATATATTGTGAATGCATTGTTATTTTGAGTTGTAATGGCTTCTGAAATGAACCTCTGCTGATTGACAATGCAAGTGCATTTCATGTACTCCTGTGATTGGCAATGGCCCAGTGAAATGAGCCTTTTGTAATGACTTCTGGAATGAAAAAAATGATGTTTTTGGCATGATTTCTGGAATGAAAAAAGTGCTAGTAATGACTTCTGAAATGAGCCTATCTTCTTGACTGATTGAGTCATTTTCATGAATACTGTAATGAAAAAGTGCATGTCAAGAACTACCTAGCTGTGAATTTTTTGCATCCAACAGTGAACCAAAACTTGAAAAAAAAAAAATCTGAGTAACCATTGGTTACTTCGGCTTTGAACCAAAACTAAAAAGAAATTATACATAAATTCCATAGCTGAACATGATCTCAAATACAAATTGAGGCTATCCATAGCTGAACATGATCTCAAATACAAACTGAGGCTATCTAAAATAGTAGAACATGGTCTCAAATACTAATTGGGGTCTCAAATACAAATTGTGCCTTACAACAGAATATTAAAACATAAAATTCCAACAGAGCCTTGCAGCAGAACAACTATTCATCGTCACTGTCGACCTCCATAAGTGTGTCGTCTTCTTCGTTAAAATACTCCATAAGTGTGTCGTCTTCTTCATCTTCATCACCAATGACGACATTCACTTCTTTTGCTGGACGCTTTCATCAACCGGGCAATTTCAGCAGCTTCAAAAACAGGGCCTGGCTCATCCTCTCTATTTAAAGGCTTATCATATATAATGTTAGAAAACGGTTGTCGCGGACCCTCCTCATCATAGCACTCGTCCTCTTGATATGCAGCAGCATTAACCTCAGTCTGACTTACATTGTAAAGATGCCTATGGTCAAATGTCTGTACAACTTGCCAATTTTCACCCAGCCTTGTATCTGGCAAATAGAAAACCTTTGTAGAATGAGTGGCCAATATAAAACAATCATTCTTGTACCACAGACTTCCAACATTGATGCTTCTAAAAAAGCCATCATCTTTAAGTGCAGTCCTCTTCCCATCTAGTTTGAACCAGTCACACTTAAACAAAACTACGGACCTCTCCTCTAAGTTATAGTCCATCTGAATTATCTCTTTTATGTTTCCAAAAAAATCAATTATCTGTCCATTATGTGTAGCTTGTTTCCAAAAAAATCAATTATCTCCACTGTTTTGTGTCTTCTTGTTCTTGTCT